CCACGAGCTGGGATTACAGGCATGCGCTACCACACCCAGTCACTTTAAACTAATCTTGTACATTTATATCTGGTAACGTGAATAGCTAATTTGAAGATAACATCATGCAATACAGCAACCATTGTTTAATTAAAAAAGAAAAAATTGATTACCTACATAAGTTTTGTTATGAAACAAAAACAAACTCTTACCTCTGTCCAGTTAGCTCATTGAGAGACCTCCAAATGATATAGGCCATCTAAGACTTCCATATGATCAATAGTATAAGGGAAATAGGACTTTGAACCTGCTGGTTGTCTGATACACCAAGTTTGTGTTTTCCAAAATTGTAGAGTGAATTCTAGGAACAGTGGAGGTGAAGAGTAGGAAGTATTTATTGAGAGAAAGAATGCTTCTGTCCAAGAGGGACAGAAGGGTCCTGAGAGGGTGGTTTAAGATTTGTTGGGTTGAAAATGGGCACTTCCATGAAGTGTCTGCGTTTTGCCTACCTGCACTAACCTTCTCCCTTTTGCTGGTCATCTCTGCAATTGTTCTTGTTTTGTAATGATTGAGGGACTCAGTTTGAATCATTGACATTCATTGCCGGAGTATCATAATCATTATATTATGTTTGATCTCATAATTACTATAGATGTTCTCTTTTACCCCTGTTCTGCCATATCTATGAGGAGAACAGTGTCTTTAATTTTTCTATCAAAAGAGCCTCTCTGATTCAAAGTGGATACATTCTGTCTCCTTCAACAAATATTTCTTTTACCTGCTTCAGAGTTGAAAGTTTCAGGCCATGAAGTATACATACCTTTTTCATTGCCTGAATATCACGAGAATAAGGAGGTGAAAGTCATAATAATATAATCTTTAACATTGTGGTACTATATAAAAACAATATTCAGAGCATTTTAAATATATCTGATCTTAGTATCAACCCTATAAAATAGGTATTGTTATCTCCATTTTATAGATGGAAAAACTACAGGGCAGAATTTTATGTGAATTGCCTGAAGTCACCCTGCTCTGGGGGCCAGGAGAAGAGCTGAACCAGGCCCTGTGGGGCTTTGGTTCTTCTTAAAGGAAAGACCCTATATGAGTATAAGTGAAACTTAAGTCCTTTTTTTTTTTTCCCCCTGCTGAGAATTGGACCTAGGGCCTTTACACATTAAGCTGTATCTCCCACTTTTTTATTTTGGGACAGGATCTTGCTAATTGGCTGTTATGGTTTGCATCTAGATGTCTCCCAAAGTGCTCCCAGGCTGTGGAGGGTGATGGACTATGGGGCAGTAGAGCTGACGTGCTGTTGGGAGGGGAGGCCTGGCTAGAGAAGCAGGTTCCTGGGGCCCTGACCTGGAAGGGTTGGTCTCCCTTCCTGGCACTGTGCTTCCTGGCCACAATGACATGAGCAGATTTTCCCAGGCCAGGCCCTTCTACCAGCCAGCTATGCACTGAAACCTCTAAAATTCATGAGCCCAAATAAACCTGTCCTTCTTTAACTTGTGGGTGTTGGGCATTGTGTTGGTGACAAAAAAGTAACTAAAATGTTTGCTAAATTGCCCAGACCAGGCTTGAATTTGTAATCTTCCTGCCTCAGCTTCCTAGAGTGCTGAGATTATGAGTGTGTGCCACTGTATCTAGCTCTAAATCCTTTTTCTAATCTAAGCTGATCTTTCCCACTGTCCATTCACCTTTCTCTGAAGTCTTTTGACTTTTATTACAAATTTAACCTGGCTCAATTTAAAAAAAAAATAAATTTACATTTAAGAAGAGAACTATGTTGTGCATTTTTCTTTTTGGCAGGAAGTACCATTTCTAAGCCAGATGTGATTGCCTTACTAGAGCAAGGGACAGAGCCCTGGATGGGTGTGAGGAAGGACAGGAGCAGGTGGTACCCAGGTGAGTGGAGGTGAGGCAGGAGGGGGAGCCGGCATTCCCTGGGGCAGCTCCTGTGGTTTGGCAGACTTCCTGTAGAGAGACTGGAGGCCTGTTGAAAAGTGTGCCTAAGACCTGGGAGGAAATAAAGCTCCTAGCGGGAGCTGCCAAAGGAACTTCATTTTTAAGATTTTTCTTTTTTTTTTTTTTTTTTTTTTTCGTTATTAGGGTTTTTTTTTTTTTACGGTACCACGAATCAAACTCAGGACCTTGCACTTGCCAGGCAAG